AAAAAAAAAAAAAAAAAAAAAAAAAAAAAAGGGGTAAAAGAACACGCTGGTTAGCAAAACTGCTTTGCGGAGCATGACAGGATCAGGACTGAGGCAAATGGCTGCACTACTGCTAGAATTATTTTATCAAGTTCCTCTATTTTAAGTTTCTTGGGGTTCCTACCTTTCAGAGAGAATTTTGGAAGCATCGTTAGAACTTAAACTGCACCTACCCTTTGACCCAGTCGTTTCACTTCTAGAAATTTATTCTATAAGAATTGATTGCACAAATGCACAAAAGGCTGTATACAGAAGTATTTCCTATATCATTGTTTGTAAAGAAAATCAAGAAAGTAACCTTTTTCATTTATTAACACGTTGGTACATTCTTATAACGAAATACTATGCAGTCATGACAAAACATGAGCTGAACTGGAAAGATGTTGACATTTTGTTAAAAACAAACTGCAGAACAATTTATACCACATATTTCCACGTGTGTAAAGAAGAAAATACATGTGTGCACGTGTATGTATGTGCAGATGCTCACCACACTGTTGACAGTAAAGGGGGATTTCATTATATTGAAGGAGCAGAGACACACTGACCTTCATCGATCTTTGTACCTTCCTGAGGTGTTTGAATTATTTCTAATTAGTGTGTATTACTTTTATAGTTATCATGCTAATTTAAAACTTAAAGAGTAAAGATTTACCTTTAGATCTGTTGCATAACACCAACCTTTTCAAAAATATGCAGCATCACAATTTTTAAGATCTTCTTGAGCTCTGAATGTATCTATTCTACACCAACAAGCTAATCTTTTAAGGAGCACATCATAAAATGTAAAACCTGAGTAGATTTTGCCATTCTAACTTTGTTTTATTGACATTTACAGCAATGTCTTCGATGATCAGAAATCAAGAAAAGAGGATACAGAAAGTAAAAGACCAGGAAAAAATGTTACTAAAATGACTCATTCCTTGCCTGTTCATTAGAGGAATGCTGCCCAATTAATTGTGGTGTTACTTATAATTAGTGCCCTGTGTACTTTTTTCTTTTTATGTGAAAATTTAATAAAAGATATCCTGTCCTGTAAATTCTATTTTGAAATAAACTATTCTTGAACACTCTCACAGTAAAACTTCAAACATCTTATTAACTAAATTTGGAAGTATTCATACATTATAACAATACATACCTATAAAGTATTCATATATTACAAGGTATTATACTTACCTTCTTTTTTTTTTTTTTTTTTTGAGTTGAAGTCTCACTCTGTCGCCCAGGCTGGAGGGCAGGGATGTGCTCACAGCCACCACAGCCTCTGCCTGCTGGGCTCAGGTGATCCTTCTGCCTTAGCCGTCCAAGTAGCTGGAACTACAGGTGTGCGCCACCACGCCTGGCTAATTTTTTAATTTATTATAGAGGCGAGGTCTCACCAAGTTGCCCAGGCTGGTCTTGAACCCCTGGACTCAGGTATCCTCTCTCTTTGGCCTCCCAAAGTTCTGGGATTACAGGCTTACCTCCTAAGCAAATTAATTCTAAGGTATAACTTATGCTAATTCCAGTATATTGGAATAATTTTTTTGTTTTGTTTTACTGGTCCCAAGACAATATCTTAAAGCTTTTTCAGCTTAAAAAAATAAAAGCTCTAGGAGAAAAAACTTCTTTAACATGAAGTAAAAGACGTGGTGTATTGCCAAGTTCAGGACAGACTCCAGCACACTGGCAGGGACTCCTGTGACCCTGAACTCACTGTCTGTCAATATCAGTGAAGGTAATCAGATAACCCAATGTGGGGGTGGGACAGGTCAAACTTTTAGAAAAGTTTCTCTTGTTTTCGTATTAATAACAGTAAAGAAAGAAAGAACAAAACTCTGTTGCTCTTTAGTAAGTGAGTAACTATTAGTTTAAATTTATTCAGTCAGTTTTAATTAGATTTTAATAAATAAGGAGGTCTGTATGTGAACCACATAAAAAAAGAACAGACATAAAAATGTTTCAGTTGTACCAAAACACGAAGGACAATGTGGCAGGCTAGCTGTCCAAAAGCAAATGTATGTCCTCTTCTGTAGATAGTACAGAATCTTCCTGAGCACCAGCTGCCAACCAAAGGCTCTGCTTTCCTGTGCCACGCCCCTTGCATCGGGTGTGGTGGCTGACAGGCTCTCCCGGGAGGGGGGCAGGGTGGGTGTGGGAATGGGACTGTGAACATAACATGGGGCACTTCCAACTCAAAACTACAACTCAAAAAGAAAAACAGGCCTCCTCCGGTGCTGTGGCCTTCTGCAAGGGTGGTGTCTGTCACAGCCACTAGCAGGAGCCCTAACCTGTACAGACAGTGAACTGAGTAGGGTGTAAGCCATTCACAAGAAAGTCCTTGAGCTTCCACTCTCCAGAACAGTGTTAGCACTCTAAGCACACCCAATGTCAGTATCTATTTTTTATTATTATTATTATTATTATTATTATTATAGTCAGAGTCTCACTCTGTCCCCCAGACTGGAGTGTAGTGGCACAATCACAGCTCACCACAGCCTTGACCTTCTGTGCTCAGGCAATCCTTACACCTTAGCACACGCCACCACTCCTGGCTAATTTTTTTTTATTTTTGTGGAGACAAGGTCTTGCTGTATTGTCCAGGCTGGTCTCAAACTCCTGGGCTCAAGTCATCTTCTCATCTCAGCCTCCCAAAGTGCTAGGATTACAGATGTGAGCTTCTGTGCCCAGCCCACAGCCAATTTTAAATAATGATTTTTGAAAATATTATATATCTCTTAAGTCAGTTGGCATTACGGAAAGATTAATTGTTATATCATCAGGCAATGATAAACTGGGCAGTGATAGGAATAAATTTAAAGAGATTTTTAATTAAATTGTCCCCCCTACCTGGGTGGGAACATCAGTTAGGGTACCTGATCTCAAACCAGGCAAAGTGGGGACCGAAGGGAGGCCCAGACTTTACCTGTACCTGTACCTAATCCTGAATTGTACCCTACACCTTTAAAATATTTTTTTAAAAAATTGTTTTACCTTCCATTTGGCCTCATAGGACTGCTTGTGCGTTCAGTGCAGTAGTGGGAAATGCCTTCAGCAGACCTCACTGATACAACATAAGCACATAGGAGGCATGTGAGCATGTGAGCAATCTATACGAATTCAACATGAGAGTGCTATGAGTCCAAAACTGTTGAGCCTAGTTTTTTTTTTTTTTTTTGAGTTGGAGTCTCACTCTGTTGCCCAGACTGGAATGCAGTGACACGCTCCCAGCCACCACAGCCTCAACCTGCTGGGCTCCAGCAATCCTTCCGCCTCAGCCTTCCAAGTAGCCCAACTACAGGCGCGTGCTACGACTCCCGGCTAGTTTTTGATTTATTATAGAGACGAGGTCTTGCCAAGTTGCCCGGGTGGGTCTTGAACCCGCAGGCTCAGGCAATCCACTTGCCTTGGCCTCCCAAAATGCTGGGATTACAGGCTAAGCCACCGAGCCTGGCAGAGCCTACCTAGTTCTTTTAAGAACTTTCCAATGCAATTTTTGATTGGGTTTGTCCTTTTCTGTTACCAGGATGAAACATTATTTCACCAATAGATGTTACGCATATTAAAAGTTATTTTAATACATAAGAATTTGTTTTCAAGTACTGGCATGCTGAATTTCCCTCCCAACAAAGGTAAAGTTTTGAAAGAAATATTCTAAGCTTTTTCTTCAAAGAGAGAAGAGAAACAGACTGTGCATCTTCTTTTATGCCTTTTGATGTTTGCTTTTCTTTATGTGTCTGTTATTAGTGGAGGAAAATATTAGTATTTTATTTTACATCTAGGCTACTATGGTACTAAGATTTACACAAATAATTAAGACACTTAGTAAAGATAAAACTCAGGTTTTATTATTTGCTCAGGTATAATAATTTAAAGTTTAAATGTTTATTTCTTTTCAGAGCAAAGATGTGCTTCTGTGTCACTGTCCTGTGTTAGCTGGTCGGAAAGGGGAGGGAAGTGGGGGGTGGATGGCAACACTCGCTATGGGACAGTGTCTGTCCAGGCCTGGTGGGAGAGAGATGGTCCTACAGAGACTCCCATGGGTGAAGGATGAGTGTGTCCCTCCTCACAGCCAGGCCACCTTGCTTGGCCCACACCCTGACCCCATTTGTGTTCCCTTCCTCATGGGCTACTCCCAGGACTGACTTCCCTGACAACTGGCTGTAACTAGGCCCCTTGTTTCTACAGCAGTCTCAGATCGTTAAGATGAAGACATCCTTACTGCCTTCAAAAACCATCCCTGGCAGGTAAAATCAAACGAAAAGCACCGGGGAGTCTTAAAGCATGACCTCATACCCTCACTAGTCACATCTAGTGACCAGATGTTTCTGATCACAGGTCCATATGCTCTTAGCTACTTTTAAATGTGAAATGTGCTTGTAATAAAGAGCGTTTCTAGCTGCACCAATAGGAAATCAACTCCTTGTGAATGAAGCTTACCTTACTCCTTTGGTTTATGGGACCCTAAGGGCTCGAGTTTGAACCCTATGTAGCTGATCAGTTGTTCCATGACCACAGTCCATACCCAAAGCTTAGCCAAATCATTCCCCAGAAGGATCAAGCCCTAAAGCAATAATGGATCTGCACAAATTCATCAATCAGTGTCACAGGGAAAAAGCCCACACTCACTGGAAGCATTGCCTGTATATATATATGTATATATCTCATAGAAATATATATACATATGTGTATATGTGTGTGTGTATACATATATATATATTTCTGCACATTAGACAAAGGCCACTAGCAAACAAACAACTCTGATGACTGAATGTGAGGACTCCTGCCTTTATCTTATCTAAATGATCAGTGTGCTCCACAGCCTCTGCTTCTCGACGCTCCGTTGCAGCCTGAGTCAGTGCAGCCCCCAGTTCGCATACACGGCCTGATCCTTATGGCCAGTCTGCAGGCGCCTGTTGCTGCATTCCTCCCAGCGGGTGACCGCCCCGTTCTCCACTAGCACAAACTTCCACTCCACCACTGTTGCTGCTGGCAGGACAACAGAATGAGACCAGAAGCCATCCCGGCTAGGGTGGAGTGGGATGTAAGTGTTCCACCACCCAAGATGCTCATGGTCTCCCGTTACTGCAAGAAACTGCCCATCAGAGCTCGTGATATAATGGATATGGAACGTGACACTAACTTGCTGTGATTCTGAAGACACTGCCGCAGCCCTTTCTGTTTTCCCGTGCATGTGCTGATCTCTGGCTTCCACCAGAGTGCTTCTACTGCTGCCTGTTCCCTGGTTCATGCTTAACACTGGGGCCTCAAGGCTGTCATCCAGACCCACATCCCCCCATGATGAATGCCGAGACACCATCTCCCAGTCCTCATGCTCAGCCAGGTCCTGACTGTCCAGTTGGGCAAGGTTCACTTCTTTAGCCTTGTCCATGGGCAGTTCACTAGAAGGCAGCTTCCCTGAAAGATATGTGGCTGCTTTAGCAGATGTGTCTCGACCTTTCTGGAATCTCACAGATTCAAGGCTTTCATTTCTTGAAACTTCAGAGTAACTCCCTGAGTTGCCAGTTTCAGAGGAGGTGGAGTCTGGAAAGTGTCCCGAGAGAACATGCTCTCTTGAGCGGTCACAGACTTCTCGGGAAGGATTCTGCAGTCCCCATACTGCCTCCTGCAGGTGGCCAAGGTCTTTGGGCTTAGCAATCAAATGCCCGTTGCTTTCTTGAAGATGCTCTAAGAAATGAAAGGAAAAATGTAGTAGTGTTGGGCAGTTCATGTAAGAAAAACTAAATTAGGCTGAGAAAGTAGATTTTGTTATTGAAGGCTTCACTAGGAATTTCTGTAGTTCACGAAGTCCCTCTCTATTAAAATCAAATATCTACTATGCTTCCAACACTGTGCCCTAAGAATACACATGTATATCCAACAGTAACTGGCACACCCAGGAGTATGAGTGTCCCAGCACCAAAGTGTAAATGAAGCGGCAGGCTGCAGAGGCAGAAGTGTAGCCCTGTCATGGTTCCTGGCCTCCCAGGGCCAGGCCACGCTGGTATGCAGCCAGCTCAAGTTGCTTGGCTCCTATCATCAGAAATGTTGTCCAGCCTGTGGGGCAAAGGGCTGCATGAATACCTTACAAAATAAAGTACACTTGCACTCCCCCTAATGCATGCAGGGCAGGGGTTGGCTCTCGCAGATCCTGGGCAGATCAGCAGAAGCTGTTACTGGGGAATAAGAAGCACGTGGTGAACCCCTGTGCAAGAGGGAGGAGCTTAGGGAGAGGGTCGGACTCTTCCTGCCAAGCTCTATGCATCAGGAACTTTTTCACAAGACATAAGGGTTTTTGCACTCCTCCCACTGTCCATACTTTCTAAAAAATGGTCTTAAAAATACACAACTGAAGACTTCTAAAGACTGAGGCTTCCTTCTTGGCATCTCACTGGTAGTCCAGATAGCTAGCTTCCTAAAGACCAAAATCTTCAAAATCATACGGTTGGCACAAGTGGGCTTTGGGGTGAGGGGTAGGAGAGGGCGGTCCTGTTCCATTTTATCTTTTTAATGGTGGGGTTGGAAGCTAGAGTTAGCAAATATTACTCTGAATTCCGAATTTTCAAATTAAAACAAGACCGGCCTTCAGGAGAAAAAAAAAAATACACGAACTCTCGAGTCATCCCAAAGCAACAGCAGGACAGCAGGAAGGGCACAGGGCAGATTCTCATGCGGCTGCACACGAGCACCGCTCCACTAAAAATAAAATCCACAGATGTCATTTTCGCCAGGTCTGCGGTCCGGGTACAGGCCGCTCGCCGAGGGAGGGCACTGAAGGGTAAGGGCTCCTGCCTATGCGCTCTCTGCCAAGCGAACTGCCTCGAACACGCGGAGGTTTAAACCCAGACGTCAGTCTTCCTCGTCAGGGCCGCGTCCCCAGCAGTGCCTTCTGGGACTGGAACGCTCTGCGCTATCCTGGGGCGTGAGGGTCGCCGCGGTCTCCCGGGCAGCCTTCAGACTGGAGTCGGAACTTTGCCCCCCGGACATGCGTCCCGAGAGAAGGAGGAGCCTGCGGCTCGCGCTCCCACGGGACGTGCGGCGGGGAGTGCGGGGCTGCGGGATCCGGACCGAGAACCTGCCCCTGCCCCGGCGCAACTGGGGGGAGGAGGGGGCCGCGGGTCCCCCTACGCCTGAGCCGAGGGAGCGCCGCCGAAGAGAGGCGCCAGTCCCGCTGGGGGCAGGGGCGAGCCCCCCGGGTGGGCCTGGGGCTTACTCGGCGGGGCGCGGCCGGGGGACGCGCCCGGGCATCTCCGGACTCCGCGGAGGGCAAGAAACCTGCCGGCGCGTCCGCACCAGACGGGGAAAGCAAGGGACGAAGGGTCCAACCCGCAGGGAGGCTCGTCCGCTCCGCTCTCTCCTCCTGGACAGACGTCAAGGACCCGCAGGTCCGCCCTGGACGCGGGGGGGAGGATACCTGGTTGGGTGGCCGGCTCCTGCCCAGAAGATCCAGGGCCCTGTCCGCCGCCGCACCGATGGCCTCCCGGAACCGCAGCCTCCCCAGGAGGGGCGTCCTTCTCCTGCCCCGCGTCCTCGTCCTGCCCCTTGTCCCCAGGACCGCCCCGCAGCAGCCACACGAAAAGCGCTCCGGCCAGACCCCCTCCGACCAGCAGGGCGGACCAGACGGTGCCCATGGCGGTGAGGCCGCGGCCGCGGGAAGCGACGGGCCGGGAAGGGGCTCTGGTCCGGCGCAGAGCCACACCCGCCCGCCTTTTACGGCTTCCACTGGCCAGCCAGCCGCGCCCCGCCGTCTCGCCCTCCCCCCTCCCCCCGCCCCGGGCCACGCCCCGTCTCCCCCAAAGCCCCGCCCCGTCCCGCCTGGGCCACAGCCCAAGGCCCCGCCCTGCCCCAGGCCCCTCCCATCCACCGCCCCAGGCCCGGCCCCGCCCCTGCCCCGCCCCCAGCTCCTGTCACTGCCGGGCGGTTGCCCAGAGCGCAGGGCTTGCGGTCCACGTGCGTTCCGCGCACAGAACCTAGTCTGCCCCGCCAAGCCAGCGCGCCTCCCCTTCGCCGACACGCGGCCCCAGCGCCACCTGCGGGAGGCTGAGCGTTTAGGCGCCTGGGAGAGGCCGCGGTGCGTCGGTACCCGCGGTCCGGGGCTCGGATAGGCAGGGCAGGCGGGGGGACTCAGCGACGTGCAGGGAACATGGGGTTCCTGGTGGAGGCCCCGCTCACCGCCCCCAGCTCCCCCGCCGGCCTATGAATTGAGGGGAGGCACCGAGGGCCCCTCCTCCTAGAGATGCCTATCAGTTCAGCGGCGTAATGCCTGTAACGCCTGGAGATGCCTATCAGTTCAGCGGCGGACAGTTGTGCCTCCTCCTAGACCTCTTTTTGGTGTGTGGTTGCTGCAAAACGGTTCCCATCTGTCCGAACAGGGTGTTGCCCAGGGACGAGTTCCTGCATTAATAAAGATAGCGAGCCTTTACAGCGCCATCTGTTTTCCAGATGTTTTATGTATGTATTTAGTTTGATCCGCACAACACAACAGCCCTGTGAGTTAAGAACTACACATTTCCCTAAGCAGCATAGAGCGTTGCTTTGCTCGGCTTTACACTTTATAGAGGGTGAGTGACTGCTCAGGGATTCTGCAACACACACATTCCTTTTTTACATTCGCTATTGGTACAAGAATAGGCATATGGACCAATGGAACAGGATAGAGATTCCGGAAGCCAAACCTCAATTTCTCAACAAATTCATCTTGGACAAGTCTCCACCACCAATCACCGGAGAGGAGAACCCTTTTACATTGACTCCCCAGCTGGTCTGACGCTGCACACACCCACTTCAGGCTGATGGTCCCACGATCACGCCTGCAGGGCCAGCCTTTCCCTCCCCTCTCACATCCCACTGCGAAACCCGCCTGGCAGCAACTACTGCAGAGGGGGTCTCTCTAGCAGAACAAACCAAATGAGCTCCTTGCAGTCAGCGACAGCAGCCCCGAGCGGGTGCAGGGCTTGGCGGTGGAATCACCGGTGGGTGCGCCTGGCGGACTGGCCACAACTCCTACAATCCTAAGGGAGGGAGAAAAGAAAAGGGAAGGGCGACTGCCCACTTGGCTTCTCTGCCTGATCGCCTGATAGATGTCTCAGTCCCAGTCACCCAGATGTGAACTTCCCGTCTTCCTCCCCACACCTGGTATCCCAGCTTCCCTGTCTTGGGAAGGAACCATCACATTCTTTCCATTGCTGCAAAACACAACAAAGCAAGCTCTTGCAGGCCGGGTTCCAGCAGGCAGTCGGGTGACCCTGTTCAAACACTAGGGTCGCCTCAATCTGCTCAAGACTCCTCAGGTGCTCTAGACCCCATGGCAGCAACCTTCAAGGCCCTGCAAGATCTGCCCCGTGACCACTTTGAGCTCAGCGCCACAGCCCCTTCACCCACACTGGCTTCCCTGCCTAGAACCTTCTGCAAATGCCTTTTCTCCCTCCTTCTGCAGATGCCCTTTCTCCCTCCTACTCAGGTCTGCAGTGTCTACCCCAGAGCTCTTTCCTGACAGTCCCTCATGTGAATTCCAGCTCCTGCCCCCAAACCCCTGCCTTGCTCCATCGTTTTAATGAGCGCTGAGTGCATCACTTCTAAGTCTTAAAATAAGACTCCATAATCCATGCATGTAATTTCTCTTCCCTCCCTCTAGGGTGTAAAGGACACGAGAGCAGGCGTTATTGTCTTTTGTTCTCTGTTGAACTCTCAGCGCCTGCAACATTTTCAGAGTGAGGGCTCAAAAGTACAGGTTGATGTTAGGACTTTGTCCGATGCATAATTTGCAAATATTTTTCCCCACTCTGTGGATTGTCTCTTTACTCTCTTGATGGTTTCTTTTGCTGTGCAAAACCTTTTCAGCTTGATGAGGTCACACCTGTCTATCTTAGCTTTTGTAGTATTCACTTTTGAGGACTTGGTCATGAATTCATTGCCTACTCCAATGTGTTTCCTATGTTTTGTTCTAGGATTCTGATAGTTGGAGGTTTAATGTTTAGGTCCTTCCATTTTGAATTGATTTTTGTATTTGGTGATAAGTAGAGGTCCAGCTTCATTCTTCTGCGTGTGTATGGGCAGCCAGTTTTCCCAGCACCGTTTGCTAAATATGGTCTCCTTTCCCCAATGATTGTTACTGGTGGCTTTGTTGAAGAAGAGCTGGTTGTGAGACCGTATTTTTACTTCTGGAATTTCTGTTCTGTTCCATTGGTCTATGTGGCTATTCCTGTAACAATCTAAAAGGAACTCACTCAATTGAAGTGATGGGAAAAAAATAAACAGCCAGATTAAAAAGTGGGCAAAAGACATGAACAAACACTTCTCAAAAGATGGCATCCAACAGACACATGAAAAAGTGTTCAGCCTCACTAATCACCAGAGAAATGCAAACAAAAAATACAGTGAGATACCATCTAACTTCAATAAGGATGGCTATCATTAATAAGTCAAAAAACAGCAGGTGCTGGCTTGGCTGAAGATAAAAGGGAGCAATTCTGCACTGTTGGTGGGAATGTAAGCTAGTTCAACCTCTATGGAAAGTAGTGTGATGATTCCTAAAAGAACTAAAAATTGATCTTCCATACAATCCAGCAATTCTTCTCCTGGGAATACACCTGGAGGAACATAATATCAAAAAGACACAGGTACATGCATGTTTATTGCTGCACTATTTATAAGAGCAAAAACATGGGACCAAACCACTGCCCAACTGGATAAAGAAAATGTGGTACATATGCACAATGGAGTATATGCAGTCATAAAGCAGAACCAAATCATGGCCTTCCCAGCAACTTGGATGCAGTTGGCAACCACCATACTAAGTGAATTATCACAAAAACAAAGAACTGAATACCACATGCCCTCACTCTTAAGTGGTCCCTGATCACTAGACACATTAGCACAAGGGTGGGATTGGCAATCACTGGGCACTGCTAGAGGAGGGAGGGAGGAAAGGAGGGAGGGAGGAAGGCAGCAAGCACGTGATGAGACAAAGGGTACCGGGTTCATTACCAGGGGAGGAAGAGCCAGCTAGAAGCCCAACTTCACTTATGTAGTAAATCCTCACTTGTACTCCACACCTCTATAATAAATAAATACATTTAAATATTTAAACAATGAGTACAGGTTGAGTGAATAAATTAAGAGCCCCTATGTCCTCACTCTGAAGCATTATGTCATTTTCTTTGCACAGATTCTATATGCATATTTTATCACATGCAGATATCACCTTTTTGTCAAATAGATTTTATGTCTCAAACTAATTTGGAATCCATGGTGAATTTTTTAAAGACCTCTAAAGTTTAAAACCCCTGACGACACATGCAAGTCTTAAAATAAGATGAATCTTGAGTATGAAAATAATAAAAAGAGACAGTAAAGTTCCATTTTTAAGAAAATGAATGTTACTGTATAAAAATGACATTTATGAACTCTGTCTTAGCCAATTTTTTTTTGAGTTGGAGTTTCACTCTGTCACTCAGGCTGGAGTGCAGTGGCATGCTCATGACCACTGCAGCTTCAACCTGCTGGGTTCAGGCCTTCCTTCTGCGTCATCATTCCAAGTAGCTGGAATCACAGATGTGTGCCACCATGACTGGCTAATTTTTAATTTATTGTAGAGACGAGGTCTCGGCATGTTGTTCAGGCTGGTCTTGAACTCCTGGACTCAGGCAATCCTCTCATCACCTCCTCCCAAAGTTCTAGGATTACAGGCATGAACCACCATACCTGGCCTACTGGTTCCTAAATTGTAAGACTTTTAAAGTCTTAACTTAGAGTTTAACAACTCTACATCTTTAAAATTTACTTATTTATGTTTTTGAGTCAGATACTCACTGTGTCATGCAGGCTGGAGTGCATAAACACGATCATGACTACCTCACTCAGCCTTGACCTGCTGGGCTTGGACAATCCTTTGGCCTCTGCTTCCTGAGCATCTGGGGCTACAAGTGTGTGCCACAATGCCCAGTTAATTTTTAAGTTTATTTTAGAGACGAGGTCTCATCATGTTGCCCAGGCTAGTCTTGAAGTCCTGGGCTTAGGCAACACTTCACTTTGGCCTCCCAAAGTGCTGGATTATAGGTGTGAGCCACAGCGCCCAGTGATATCTCAGTTTTTAATTGTCAGTATTTTATAGAAAATTTTAGACTTATTCTATCTCCTTTTGTTAGAGTAAAACTTGATGTCTCTGAATTGCAAACAAAGTCAATAGAGTGATTTTTATAAATAATATGAACATTTTCTTCTTATCTCCTCACTGATAACTGCTGTTGCTACTTCATTGGTCAAAGTTTTTATCAATGTGCTAAGGAATGAAACCCCAGAGAGTCTCTAAAATCTTAGGATGTGAGTCTCATTCTTCATTTCTAATACCTAGAAGACTCTTAATAAAGACATATTGTCATCAGTTGCTATTTCATTTATTAAAAATATTACTCCCAAGTTACATAATTTTTCCCAACCCATCAGAATTCTTTTTACGTTGTATCAGATTTATCATGCAGCATTTTAAAAGAACACCATTTGGCCTTTCTTCTGACTTTTTCAAACTCAAAAGTTGACTTGGTTATTTCTGCGTTGCTGTGTTTTTAAAAATAGTCATTGCTGTATTTATTGAAAGTTTATAGTCATGTGTTCTAAAAAATATTCTGTACTG